GGGCCTATTATTAATCATCTTTACTTCATGTTTAATCACTTTCAGACTGAAAATTTGGTAGAAATTAGAAATGTCTTCATCTTTAGCTTTAGTGGTTGTTCTGATATTTGAATAATATTTGTATTTCCAAGTTTTTCTTGCATGTGTATTATGGATAGTATTCACAGCATTGTATTTCAGGATGTTATGGCTCTATACCATAAAGTCAGAGTCAGAACCCATCCATAGCTGACCCTCCAGCAGGTTTTCAGAGGCAATTAATTACATGGGAGGAGACTGCCCATCTGTCTCCTGTGGAGCAGCTGGTGGCCTTGAAAAATGTGCCTTCAGGATTGCCGCTCAGCTTCTTGCCACTAGGCCAGCAGAGAGCTTGAATTTTTATTTCCCCAAATAAATGCAACCCTATTCCTCTTCAAATTTTCATTCTTGCCATAATAGATTATAAGACTGTCTGATCTGAAGGACTAATATCAGTCCATCTCAGCTCACTGATGCCTAACATGTCAATCTTTATGAATCTAATTTAATTTTTTACAAATTCTAATCACACCAGATTCATGCCTTGCACATTCCAAATTCCATATTTTCCTAATTTATTGAATACTTTCCAATTTTCATCCTTTGACACTATATACAACAATATTCTTGTTATTAATAGGATTTTCAGAAGCCTACTCTTTCAAAAATACATGGCCAGTCCTGCATCTTAGACTATCTCAGTCTGCAAGTGCCATTGAAATTTGTCCACTATGGTGACCCTAATGATATTTGAAATATCAGTGGCATATCTTACAGTATCTCAGCAACACAAAGTCACCACAATACAGAAAAATGGTGGATAATTGTTGTCCAAAAGCAAACTGTTAAAGAATGAAATTTACTGATATAACAAACAAACATGCATGACTGGAATATAGAAAAAAATGTAGCCTAGTACAGTGCATCTGCTATTATTTGCTGTTGTTATGTGCCATCGAGTCACCAGAGACTCATAGTAACCCTATGGACAATAGCCCTGACCCCTGCCCAATCCTGAGCCAATCTCACTGACTCTGACACACCTATCTCCATTACCTCAGTCACTATGTCAATTCATCTTATTTGAGGTCTTTCTCTGCTGCGCTGTCCCTCTGCCTTTTCAAGCATTATGTCCTTCTCCAAGGACTGGTCCCTCCTGACCACATTCCAAATTATATATGACAGAGCTTCAAAATCCTTGCCTCCAATGAGAAGCTTACTTTGTTCTCCTGGTGGTCTATTGTATGTCCAGTACTCTTCCCCAGTACCACAACTCAAAAGGCATCTTTGTCTTCCTGATGTTGATCTTCAATCCATATTGAAAACTATAATTCTTGACTTTCTACGACAAATTCTTCAGATCTTCCTCAGTTTTGGCAAGCAATGTGGTGTCATCTGGACTTTCTTTAGGATAACGAAGTGTTTTCTTTAAAAAATAAACAATGAAAATGTTGTCAAGTAGGTAATCTGGAATATTTTTTCATTGCTAGTAGAAATACAAAATGATACAGCTTCTGTGGAAAATTCTTAGGCAATTTCTTAAAAATTTAAACATAGAGCTACTGTATGACCCAGATATCTCACTTAATCTTGAAAGCAGTAATACAGATACATGAACATCAATGTCCATTTTACCATTACAAAGAATATTTAAAAAGTAGAAACACTCTAGATGTCCATTGACATTTGAACGGGGAAGCACAATATGACAGACATTTAGCTAAATAGGAAAATTAAGTAATGGATGAATCTTGGAAACATACTGAATGAAGTAAGACAATCACAAACTGAAAGGTATTGTATGATCTTGTTGTTGTTGTTATGTGCCGTCGAGTCCCTTGTGACTCACAGCGACCTTATGTACAACAGCCCTAAACTCTGCTCTGTCCTGTGCCAATCTCACTATCTCTGACACACCCATCCCAATTATCCCAGTCACTGAATCAATCCACCTCATAGAGGGTCTTCCCCTCCTGCACTGTTCCTCCACCCTACCAAGCATGATGTCCTTCTCCAAGGACCAGTCCCTCCTTACAACATGTCCAAAGTATGTTACATGGAGCCTCAGAATCCTTGCCTCCAAGAGCTGCCTGGTTTAACCCTTTCCAGGATTAATCTGTTTGTTTTCCTAGCAGTCATGGTACCGTCAATACTCTTCTCCAGCACCACAGCTCAAAGGCATCAATTCTCCTTCTACCCTCCCTCATCATTGTCCAACTCTCTGACGTATAACAAGTGATAGCAAAGACCATGGCCTGTATCAGGTGCACCTTGGTCTCCAGAGAGACACCATTGATCTTCAGTACTTTGGAGAGGTCCCAAATAGCAGACTTTTCTGTGGCAATACGTCTTTAAATTTCCTGGCTACTGGTGCCAAGAGTGTTGACCGTGGAGCCAAGCAAACTGAAGCTGTGAGCAATCTCAATCTCTTCACCATCCATCCTGATGCTGCCAATTGGCCTAGTGGTGAGAATCTTTGTCTTCTTGACATTGAGCCTCATCTTACTTATATGAAATATCTTCACGAGTTAAACACAGAAGATCAATGTTTATTAATGATTAGCAGGTATAAGAGGAAGTGGGAGATCACTGTTTAAGAGTTTCTATTTATGGTAATGGAAAATGTAGCAGAAGATATTTTATGTTTACATGATAATGCAACCAGTGTCAGTAAATACATGTACATGTGTGGAATGCTCAACTGGTAATTTTATTATTTTTTTCAGTAATTGAAAAAAAATACTTTACTAGTTCTTAATCTATAATTATTTTCCGTTAGGTACAGAACAATGGCAGTGACAACTGATTTGACATGGATGGAGGAAAAGAATCTGCAACAGCTACTTGGATATACTTCCTTGAGTCTTCTTTACAAGTCTAATGTTCATGGACATAACATTAAAAATATGCTTGAGAAATGTTCTCATCAGGGATCCACTGTTACTCTAATTTATGATAATTATTACAATATGATTCATGGAGTCTTTATATGTGGGCATTATCCTGAAAACTACGAAGAATCTGAAAACTCAAATTCCTCCTTCTATTTTTCATGGAAAAGGACAACCAAGAAAACTACCTAAATTCCAACTTTTGCTTTTAACAAGCCACCTAAAATTACTGAAAATTGCCTTAAAGTTTATTCAGATGAATTTTTGTTTTTCCACTTACTGTCATACAATGACTCATTCTACGTAGAATATAAGTTGAATATGAATCAGTTTAAACCTTTAAATTATAACTACAAATGTGAATGTGAAGTTTTTCGAACTGAAGGTAGGTTAAATTGGTAATTTGATCTTTTGCTTTCAGTCTTTGTATTAGCTGAGTATTAAAAGACTTATAAGAACAAGGGGAAAAATGAGAGGATCAATCTAATAGTTTATTAGTTGATGCTCTTTTTCTAACCTTCAGAATAAAACTGAAATGTGCAAAGAGCTGAAGTTAGAAAATAAAAATGGACATCACACTCAACATTTCTTAAGCTGAAAGAAACAAAGAACAAGTCCAAGCCTCGAGTTGCAATACTTAAGGAAGTTGTGGATAGAATGCTGAATGATCCAGGAAGCATTAAAAAAAAGGAAGGAAAACACAGAGTCACTATACCAAAAATAATTGGTTGACACAGAAAAATTTCATGAAACAACATATGATCAAGAGTCTATTGTGATAAAGGAAGAAATTCAAGTTGCTCTGAAGGAATTGGCAAAAACAAGGCCCCAGGAATTGATGGCACACTAATAGACAAATTTTAACAAATAGATGCTGTCCTGGACATGCTTATGAGGTTGTGCAAAGAAGTCTGAAGAACACTGGCCAACTGACTGGAAGAGATATGTATTTATTCCTATTCCAATAAAAGGTGATCTGACAGACTGTGGAAATTATCACACTGTATCTATTAATATCACATGCAAGCAAGATTCTGTTAAAATTATCCAAAAACGACTGGAGCAAGAACATCATCAGAGAGCTACTAGATGTGCAGGCTGAGTTTAGAGAGGCCATAACACTAGGAACATTATAGCCAATATGAGATTAATCTTAGCTGAAAGCAGAGAGTACCAGAGGAATATCTGTGTTTAATTGACTATTGACTGTATGGATCACAATAAACTGTGGCTAACTCTGAGAAGAAGGGGAAGCTCAGAACACTTGATTGTCTGAAGGAAACACTGTATGGTTCAAAATCAGGAAAGGTGTATGACAGGGATGCATCCTATCTCCACATCTTTCCAATCTATACATATATTGAATAGATCATCTGGGAGTCTGAATTCTATGAAGAGGAATGTGGCATCAGGCTTGGAAGAAGAATCATCAACAACCTGCTTTATGTAGATGATACAACCTTGCTTGCTTATGAGGAGGACCTGAGAAATTTGTTACAAAAAGTGAATGACTGCAGCCTTCAACATGGATTGAAAGCTCACTGTCAAGAAAACAAAGATTCTCACCACAGGGCCAATTGGCAACATCATGATAGATGGAAAAGAGATCGAGATTGTTAACAGCTTCAGCTTGCTTGGCTTTACAATCAACACTCTTGGTACCAGCAGCCAGAAAATCAAAAGACAAATTGCATTGGGAAAATCTGCTGTCATGGACCTCTCCAGAGTACTGAAGAGCAATGATGTCAATCTAGGGACTAAGGTGCATTTCATCCATGCTGTGGTCTTTACAAATTTACTATGCATCAGAGAGCTGAACAATGACTAAAGATGACAGAAGAAACAATTTCTTTTTGAGTTGTGGTCTTGGAGAAGAGTACTGAATAAAGCATATCTTGAAAAGAGAATAAGTAGGTACGTCTTGGAGAGGGTATAACAAGACTGCTCCTTAGACACAAGGATTTTGATGCTCCATATTTTGAAGCTGACATATTTTGGGCATGTTGCAAAGGGGGATCGGTCCTTGGACAGGGACATCATTCTTGGAAGGGTGGAAACTCAGTGCAAGAGAAGACGACCCTGGATGAGATGCATTGATTCTATGACTGCAGTAATGAGGATAGGTGTATCAGAGATGATGACATTGGTGCTGGTTAGAGCGAAGTTTGGAGCTGTTGTATATAGGGTTGCTATGAGTTGAAGGAGACTTGATAGTACATAACAACAACAAGAAGAACAAAGTTTATGAAGTTCATTTCCTGGATAAGACAGTTTTTAGCATAATAAGTGGATTAGCCCTGGAAAATGAAAGTGAAAGGGAGACAGAGAAGAAAAAGAAAAAGAGCTTTGCATCAAAATAGGCATAAAGATGAGAGAGTTCAGAACAAGCTGATATGCAGAGATGATCACTTTCTTTCCTCTTCTGGTTATGTTGGCTACTCTGAACAGTTTATCCAATAAGATGCAATGTCTTGGTTAAGAGGTTGTTGTTGTTTTTATGTGCTGTTGAGTCGTTTGCGACTCAAAGCGACCCTATGTACAACAGCCTTAAGCCTTGCTCTGTCCTGTGCCAATCTCACTCTCCGACAGACCCATCCCAATTACTCTAGTCACTGAATTAATCCATCTTATAGAGGGTCTTCCCTTCTTGTGCTGTCCCTCCACCCTTCTAAGAATAATGTCTTTCTCCAAGGACTGGTCCCTCCTTACAGCATGTCCAAAGAATGTCAGACAAAGCCTCAGAATCCTTGCCTTCAACGAGCAGCCTGGTTTAACCCTTTCCAGGTTGAACATGTTCGTTTTCTTAGCGGTCCATGGCACATTCAATACTCTTCTCCAG